TCTAATAGTGGCACAAATCAAGTTACAGAGGTAAGGTGGTTCCATTGCCATCCTTACTCTAACTTAATTCTTTTTTTTAATTTAAATTTGTTATTAATTTCAGTAAAAATTTACAGAGGCTTTGGATTTCCATTCATTCATTGTTGTAGATTAACCCTAATCATTCTTAAGTAATCAATTATGTGTTTCTTATTTTTTGAGGCCAAATCCTTGGCCTTCATGTCTAAGAGGCTGGCCATTTCTGTTTTCCCTGTAAGTAATCTGATCTAGTAATGTTCTAGTTCAGTGTCTACTTACTTTCACCTTACATTCACCTGGAAAAGAGAATAGACAACCAGACCTTAATAATATTCTTTGCCTTTTTTTATTGACTTTTGTTCTACTAGAATATAAAAAATTATAAATTATCTTTTGAAAATGAATTCCTTTCCAGTGTGATAGATTTTATATCTTTATATAATGTTGGTGCTGTTGTTTCTTATGTAGCCTAAAGAGCCTGACAGTCAAGAACACAGAGGTCCAGGACGACATGCAAAGCCCCAGACAGGAGAAGCCTACGATTACTGCAGTGATTTTAGTGACGATGAGCCAGTGGGAAACTCAAGAATAAAGACTGTTAAGAGCAAAGCATCATATTCAAGTAGAGCTTCAAGTTGTCCAGGGCAGCTCACCTTACTCCAATGTGGCTTCTCTAAATTATTCGAGACAAACTATAAAGCAGTTGAGGATAATGATGGAAATGACACCTCTGATGATGAAAGCCTTGATAAGCAGCCCATGCACAATTCAACAGAAGCCAAAGATTATATGACTATTGATTATCAGAAAAACCAGGACTCTGTTGGTACTTTAGAACATGAGAAAAAAGCTTGCATTGTAAATCCAAATGAAAGATTTCTTTTTCCTAAAAGTGAAACTTTAAAACAGATTATTTCTTCTGAATCTGATGATGAAAAAAATGTTAAAAATACACTTGAACACCAAGATGTCTCAGAATCAGAAGACAATGATGTTGTCTTTCCCACACAGAGAATCCCTAAATGTAGTGAAAGATTTAAGCCACTTTTGGATATATCTGAATATTCTAATACAGATAGCACTGTACAAGTAAGAAATAATTGTGATGAACAAGAAAGTGGACCAGTTTCCAAAAAATTAAATCCTGAGTGCATTGTTCTGAAATCAGTCAAAAGAAAAGACACTAGGGATATTAGTGATGAGTCTGAAGACATTGAAATAACTTCTCAGTCACAAATAAGGAAGCACAGAGCTGCTAATTCCTTGAGGCTTAAGAAAGAAAAGAAAAAGAACCGCAAATTTCACAGTTTTCCGAAAACAAACAGAGTGTATATAATAAGAAAGGATTGTAGTTCTCTGACTATTGGAGACTGCTCATCTTCAGACGAGGATTTAAATATCAGGCACATTAGTGCTCCTAAAAAGAGTCATGGACCAAAAGTTATAAAAGAAGGAATCTGTTTCTCTTCAGAGTTGCCTAGCCACAATAAAAAAAGTAACACTCTTTTGCTAAGGAGACAAATAAATTTTTCAAATGAGAAGCTTATCAGTCAAGAGCAGACATCTGAATCCGTGGATAAATTTTTAGGTAACTACAGTTAAATCCTGAAAATTTTTAAAATATTTGTTTCATGCATATACTTCTGTAAGAGATTCTGAAATTATCTTGTGAAAGAATCCTAAAATTACCATGCTGCATTTAGGTACAAATGAGGATAAAGCAACAGGACAAAGGAGTTCTTAGGTGAGGATAGAGAACTGTGCCAGCTATCCCGGGATCACCTTCATGTTACCCGTCTGAATCACATCTCATCTTCCCTTATAAATAGCATCTATTCTGATTTTCTTAACAATGAGTTCTCATTTTTTAAATTAATTTTAATGAAAGTTTACAGAGACTTTGTATTTCCATTCATTCATTATTGCACTTTCCTCCCTGCCCAACCTCCCCCACACCCAATTCACTCTTCTCTTTGAAAAGTAAAAGAAAAATTCTTTCATTGTTATACAGTTCCTCCCCCCAAATCCACTCCTATGCAGCTTTCATTTTGGAAAGTAAAAGAAAAATTCTTTCATTATTATACAGTCCCCCCCCTCAAGTCCACTCCACTATGCAGCCTTCGTCCTGGACTCCTGTCATGACAATAATGCCTACGTTTTCTTCCTCATCTCTTTCAATACAGTATACATAATTTATCCCATCTTCTCAGTCTCCCCCCAACCGCAGTATCAGTCCCATTTTACAACAGTGGCACTATGCAGTATTTGTCCTTTTGTGACTGAGATATTTCACTCAGCATAATGCCCTCCAGGGTCACCATTTGTATATTTCATGAGTTTCTTGTTTTTCAATGCAGCATAGTATTCCATTGTGTGAATATACCACAGCTTCTCTATCCATTTGTTTGTTGATGGGCACTTGGGTTGTTTCCACCTCTTTGCTATTATGAACAAAGCTGCGATAAACATGGGTGGCATAAATCGGCTTGGGTGGCATTTATGGTTTCTTTGGGGTATTATTCCTAGTAGTGGAATTGCTGGATCAAAAGGTATTTCTAGTTCCATCTCTTTGAAAAAGGGCCATACTGCCTTCCATAGTGGTTGTACCATTTTACACTCCCACCAACAGTGAAAAAGGGTTCCAGTTTCTTCACAACCTCTCAATAAACTGGAAATTGCCTTTTCCATTTCGTTGAAGAATGGAATTGGTATTTGTATTGGGATTGCATTGAACGTGTAGATTGCCTTTGGTAGTATTGTCATTTTCACAATATTGAAAATGGGCAAGTATTATTCTTCCACTTCTCCAGGTCTCTTTTTGTTTCTTGTAGTAATGTTTTGTAATTTTCTTTGAATAGATCCTTTGAGCTTCTGGTCAGATTTACTCCCAAGTATTTAATCTTGTAATTAGCTATTGTGAAGGGTATTGATTTTTGTAGCTCCCGCTCTGTATTTTCTTTGTCATTGTAGAGAAATCCAACTGATTTTTGTATGTTGATCTTGTAACCTGCCACTTTGCTAAATTGTTCAACTATTTCCAGTAGTTTTCTTGCTGAGTCTTTAGGATTTTCTAAGTATATTATCAAATCATCTGCATATAGAGATCATTTTACCTCTTCGTTTTCAATTTGGATACCTCTTATTTCCTTCTTTTACTGTTATTGCTAAGACTTCTAATACAGTAATGCAGAAGAGATGTGATAGTGGGCATCCTTGCCTAGTTCCTGTTCCCAATGGGAATGCCTTTAACCTCTCTCCATTGAGAACAATGTTGGCTCTCGGTTTTGCATATATACTTACTGTGTTGAAGAAATTTTCCTCTAATCCTATTTTGTTGAGTGTTTTAGTCAGGAAAGGGTGTTGGATTTTGTCAGAGGCCTTTTCTGCATCAATTGATAGGATCATGTGGTTGTTCTTTGCTTTCTTAATGTATTGAATTACATTGTTTGTTTTTCTTTTGTTGAACCATCCTTGCATACCTGTTATGAATCCCACTTGGTCATGGTAAATGATTTCTTGGATGTTTCATTGGATACTATTGGCTAGTATTTTATTCAGGATTTTTGCATTTATGGTCATAAGTGATATTGGCCTATAGTGTTGTTTTTTTATTTTGGTAGTGTCCTTTCCTTGCTTTGATATGAAGGATATTTTTGCTTCATAGAACGAGTCTGAGAGAACTCCATAATTTTCTGTTTTCTGATATAGTTTATGTAGAATTGGTGACAGTTCTCTGAATGTTTGATAAAATTCACTTGTGAAACTATCTGGTCCAGGGTGAAATTAAAAAGTTTCTTGAAACAAATGACAATGAAAACGCCACTTACCAAAACCTCTGAAGCAGCCAAAGAAGTAATCAGAGGTCAATTTATAGCAATAAGCAAACACATGAAAAGACAGGAAAAAATGACCATTGACTCTCTAACCCAACATCTCCAAAAAATTGAAAAAGAACAGTAAGAAAACCTGACACCCTCTAAAAAAACTGAAATTATAGAAATTAAAGCAGAAATAAATGAAATGGAAAACAGAAAAACAGTTGAAACCATTAACAAAACTAGGAGTTGGTTCTTTGAAAAGGTCAATAAAATTGACTAGCAAAACTAACAGAAGAAAAGAAGGAAAACACACTAATGATCTGAATAAGAGATGAAATGGGAAACATCACAGCAGAACCCACTAAAATAAAAAAGACTAACATTAGAATATTATGAAAAACTAAACTCAAACAAATATGAAAACCTAGAGGGACAGATACTTAGAAGTGCACAAACTACCTAAACTGACACAAACTGAAATTGAACACCTGAACAGACCCCATTACAAAAGAAGAAATTGAAAAGGTTTAAAACACCTTCCAACCAAAAAAAGCCCTGGACCAGATGGTTCTTTGACATTTTTATGGTTTTATAACACTAATGTGTATCCCCTAAACATTTTTTTTTCCTGTTTTCATAATAAACTTTATTGTGACAGGCGGGGCTGATCCCTCCCATGCTGGGAGACACCGTGTGACAAGTGGCAAAGCTTTGAGTCCAGCCCCTTTTGGGGCCACAGTGGTAGGGCTGGGGGTAAGGGATGGGTCCTCTGGCTGGGGTAGTACCATGACTAGAGGCAGGGGAGGCAACCAG